ATTCTAACAGGTTATGGGCCCACACCACGTAAGAGCGCAAGAAATCGCATGTAGCAATGGCAGAGAAAAGTGTCCTGGAGAGCGTGCAGAGCGTGAAGGAAGTCTAAAGAGCGTGAAGAGAGTGTGAAGAGAAGAGAGGAGCGTCAGGGGAGAGCGTGAAGAAGTTTGTTCAAGAGAGAGAACAGCAGGTCTGCCAAGATGGCTGACGAAGGTGTTAGGATCAAGATAGATCTTCTTGATGTGGAGAACTACTTGCCATGGAGCCAGAAAATGAAGTTTCTGCTGATCTCGAAGGACCTTTGGGAAGGAGTTGAAGATTCTGCGTCACATGCTGCAAAGTCTAGGAGGGCCTTGGCGATCATTGGACTTCACGTGAAAGATCATCATCTCGGAACCATTGCGGCATGTAAGACTGCAGAAGAAGCTTGGGACCTTCTAGAAAAGACGTACAAGAGCAAAACAAATGCTCGGAAGTTGCAGTTGAGAAAAGAGATGAGTGCTCTCAAGATGGAGCCTAACGAGCCTGTTGCCACCTATGTTGCTCGCGCTCAGGATATGTACAGAGACTTGGTGGCTACTGGCTTTCAGATGACCTCAGAGGAGTTGGCCTGGAACGTGCTTGCCGGACTGCCAGTCACCTTTGATACTCTGGTGACGGTTCTGGAGACTCAAGAGGAAGAGTTACAGGTGGAGAAAATTCTTCCAAAGCTTATGGTGCATGAGCAGAAACAAGTGACGCGGGAAGACGAGGCTCTTGATAAGGAGCGCAATCCGCTGGCGTTCTCAGCACGAAATGCAGGCTTTGGCAAGGGAAACTTCCAGAAGCAAGGGAAATTTGGACAAAAGCAAGAGCAGTCTCGTGGACATCAAGTAACGTGCTTTGAATGCGGACAGGAGGGACACGTAGCAAAGTTTTGTGAGCAAAGGAAAGCGCGTGAAGAAGCGAGACAATGTTACAGGTGTGGCAAAAAGGGGCATATTGCACGAAATTGTCCAGGTGACTCTAGGGAAGAGGTTGCGAGGGCTATGTCTGTGATGCACTTCTGAAGGAAAGAGTGTGATGGGAATGGCGCAATGGAAGAGAGATAAAGAGAGAGATCCGAAGAGCGAGGAAGAGGGAGATGATGAGAAGAGCGAGATGAAGAGCGAGGAAGAGGGAGATGATGAGAAGAGCGAGATGAAGAGAGGGGATGTGAAGAGAGTTGAAGAGCGGGGATGTGAAGAGAGAGTCGAAGAGAGGAGTGAAGAGCGAGGAGGAAGAGAGAGTTGAAGAGCGGAGTGAAGAGCGAGGAGGAAGAGAGAGCGGGGAGAGCATAAAGAGAGTGAAGATGGAAGCAGAGCAATAGAGAACTATTGGGATAGTTTGTTGGAGATGAGTAGCCATTATAGAGTTATTCAATTGAGAGGGAGTGTTAGGATCCGGTTAGGATTTGGTCAATCAAATAACTCTAAGGTTAGTGAATCGACGGCTAGGATTTGATTGGGAGAAGCTGACTGTGCAAGGAAAGCTGACTGCGCTAGGAAAGCTAGGAAAGCTGGCTGTGCAAGGAAAGCTGACTAGGCTCAGTCTGTAGAGTGAAGTTAGACTATAGACTTGAGGAGGAGGAACTTGATCGATAACATAATCAGAGAAGCATGAAGTAGAGAAGAAGGCGCCTTTGAGAGGCGCTCGTGCCACTGTGCTGTTTGCTACATGTGATTGTCTGCCAGATGCATTGATACATTCTAACAGCATGACCGCGGTTGTCATCGGTGAGCGTACGCAAGTTGTATCTAAATTGTATGATGCTTGTTGTCGGCCCCGGAACATGGAATACTTGACCCCCCGTATTTTGTATTCCAAGGTTTCAAAAAGGCAGTATTCCGTATTCCAAGTTGCTCGGGTATTCTGTATTCCGTTTCGCAAATGTGTTTTTTGACACTTTGAAAGGAACGTAAGGAGTGCGCTTGTCATGTGAGTTCTTTTACAATCTTCTTTCGTTCAAAGGATGCTTTTGGATGTCTTTTTACTTCGAGGTCAGATATGTTGATGTTGTTTGCCACATGTTGTGTACCGGTAGTATGCTCGGAGCCCTGTATTCTGTATTCTAGTATTCCAAGGCCCAAATTCGGGTATTCCGGATTCTTTCGCTTCCAAAATAGGTATTCCGTATTCCAATATTCCATGTTCCGGGGCCTATTGTTGGCTTGGGGTGGTATGGGACACTCCCCTGCATGATACTTCTCGGTAGTATTAGGCTTGCCAGGCCAACTCCACGCGACCTCCACGCTATTATTCCGCTGCCTGCTCTCGTGACATAGCGTGCCAGTAGCTTATGAGACTTTCTGGGTTACACAGTGGCAATTATCTCGCGTTAGCATAACTCTGGTACCATACGATAGCGGGTTGTTAGCAGAGCCGCTGCAGAGGGTCTCGGGTTTGCCTGCTCAGTGCTAGTGGTCTCGGCGTGTCGGTGGTCTCTCTAGTGCCGTACACCACGTGCCATCGAGCTTCGAAAGCCGTCGAAAAACGCAGTCGATCGATTTCATACCGGAACAGTGCCAAAAGTACCGTTCGCTGGATAAAATCCGCTTAACAGAGTGACCCATCCCACAACCAAATGAAAATGGCCTCCCTAATTATCCCCGGCTGCTCGCTGATGCATTGGGTTTGTTTCTGGATTTTCTTGACCGGACAAATGCTGAGAACAGTGGCGGAATGGCCAGTCAACGGTGTAGATTGACCGGAAGATGAATCGACGGCCTTCGGTCGTCGAAGTCAAATGTCGACGAGCCTACGTGGCGGGCCGGTAAAGGTTTAGCCAATAGGATCACGAATAAAATAGCCTTACCGCGAAATTGACATGCCAATACAGGGAGGCAACCAGCCGGGTAAAATTAGCGAGAGCTCGTTTTTTACAAAATAAAAAAACCGAGCTGAAAAGAAAAAAGTAGCAAACCCTGGACGTATACCGTATTCTCTCGCACTCCTGAGATACTATATTTAATACCCGCACTTATACAAGTTTTAGTCCAAGATACTAGCTGTTTAAGATCTGTATACCGGTATGCTTTATCTGCATTCGAGTCTGGTGTCTTCAGACTTCCGTTTGCTTCAGTGAGTGTGGCCCGAACGGCTGCTGGGGGAGAAGTGCGGGAGCTCGGCGGCACTGATCCCTTGCTGGCAATGGCGGTATCCGCGAGACATCCCCGGTATCACCGATTCAAACAAGTAGTTGGCATATCCATCCTTTGCATTGCTGCAGCATTGCTCTCACTGCTATTGTGGCCAAGTTTGTGGAATAAGAATTCCATACTCTCAACAATATCAGCCAAAGCAGAGACAAAGAAAACACAGTTGCTGTCTAGTACTCCCGATACCTGCCCGGTAGCTCAATGTGCACCATGCTGCCTGGGTCGTGGCGGCATCAGGAAGCCACAAGCTAGCAATCATAACTCCGAGCATGGTCATCCTGTCGAAAGCACTTTACTTCCTCCCAACAAAGAGACAGTACCACCTTGGGTTTCAGTATTGCCAAGGAATTCGACATTTTTTGATGGACAGATGAATGCTCCAAAGCGCAGGGATGTTTCCAGGATCTGTTTGATAAGCGAGCGCGTAAGCGGCAGCAATTGGCTAACATCAACCTTACAAAAAAATTTCCCACGTCAGGTCGCTACAAACTGTTTTACTTTCAAGCATTGGTTTCAATCTCCTCTGGATATTAGGGACAGATTGCAGGTGAGCTGCTTGCTGCATGGCAAGGATCATGAAGCCGTGCATATAATTTTGTGCCAGATGAGAAGCACTTGAAATGCATCTTTACGTATGAGAGTACTGAGCTCTGCTCATGTCATTATCAACAAATTTCTACCAGATCGCTTTTGTCTGACGTTGTATGTGCAAGCAAATGCCTCAAGATCAAAGAACGTTGTTTTCTAACAGCTTAGTGTCCCTTTTTCCCCTGTTGCATGCATACCCGATGCACCGGTGTCAAGACACTTTAAAGTGGTGCATCAATCTTGGACTTTTCCGATTTGGAGGGGCCCATAGAGGTCGATTTTGAGACAGTCACATTTGGCGGAAGGGGTCTCAAATACAATTTCTGGTTCACTGCCTTGGATGTCCTTTGGGGGTGGTCATATGGAAGCTGGGTTTAGAATGAAGTCGACCCGGGTGCAACCAATCATGATATGAGATCAAGTCAATTTGTTACATCAAATTCTTTGTTCTTCTGGGTGTCAATCACACTTTCTCTGTTTGATTTGGTCTATATAATGCAGAGATCTCCAAGACAAACAGGCAGCCCTTGAGTCAGTAAGCTTCTCAATGTTTGCAGGATGGCGACATCGTCATAGTCAACTTCCGTAATGCACTCGACTGGATTCTACATCTATGGCGAAAGCCTTGGAACAGCAGTTCCCACCACAATCTGACGTTGGAGGAATTCATAACAAAACAGTGGATGGCCAACCCGCAAATCGGGTTTGGCGAAAATCAAAATACCGCACTTCACCCGGGAAGACATCTTTCTGTCACAGTTGAGGAAAATTACAGTGCCTTTCACGATCATTATGAGAAGTACAAACATATCTTTGGAGGCGATTTTCCTGAGGTAATTGCACTATCCTTCAAAATCAACGACAGTTAAGGTTTGCTGGTTGCTTTGCAATGCAAGAATTGGAGAATCGAGAATCGATTTTGCTGCATATACACACCGCCAGAGAACAATCTGTTCCATGAAAATACCTGGGATGACTGTTCTTCGGATAAATCTGGCATTAGAAGCTTGGGATGTTTTTTTGAATGGCTTTTTGCGATTGTGCGGGCAGCTTATCCCTTGGATTCATGTGCAGGGTCCAATCGACAATATCATGAAGCTTCGAGCCATGAAAGTGGATAATTTCGTTCGTATAAAAGATTGGATTTTGTCCGATCCCGCTTGGACCCCACGAGTATTGTTTGTCAGGTGAGTAGACACCACCGAACTTTCGCAAAAGAGACTGCCAATGGTTAAGATCCTTGTTTAGATTACGAGAACTTTAGCCCCTTGCTACTCATTGCATGCCTAAAAACATACACGACCCGGGTGACCGGCGTGTATCTTTACAACGATCCAAAGGTTACGGTGCAGGATCTGTTTGTTTGCTTTTTCTGTCATTAACAAAGCGTGGTCGTTGCCAGTTGTTGGAACCATTGGCCTGATCGATTTCTAGTAGCTCCGCGCCCTCATAGCCGCTATCATCATTCTTCTTTCTCAGTGAATATCTTTTAACCCTGTTGGTGCCTGTGTCTACTGCTTCTAAGTTTGTGCACCGGGCTTCAAAGCTTCTGAATACTCTCATACGGAAAGAGCGAATCTGTTAGTGAGGCATGCCAAGAAAGAATTGCATCCTGTGAAGTCAATTTCAGATTGAATGAACTACAATTAATGGAGAAATGTGTTAATTTATTGGACTCCAACTGATACCATTCCCGCTGTTCGGTTGGGCGGCAAATAGTCCAGGAGCTGCCCAAATAACTAGACTCAACAGTCAATCTCTGCCGGATCCTGCTAAAGAAAGAAAAGCTAGAATTCATTCTCGAAGGCCCATTTAGACCACAAAGAAGCAACAATAGCTGAATCTAGGGTTTGCTCGCATTTGCCAAAGATTATGCCAAGTTGGAGTGTGATTTACCCAAATCGCGTACTACATGCGCCAATTCTTTGGCAAAAATCCTTCAACTAGGATGACGCTGAATTGCAAGTCGTATGCCGAACCGCTGTTAATTTCGGCAAAAAAAATAACTATTTGCACTGCCGAAACTAGCAGAGCGCGCAATAATGGTTTGATTATTGTCACTTCAGCAGGCAATCCTTCGGTTGCCAAAAAGTTTCATTATTGAGTAATCCGTGCTGAAGGTGCCAAAACTAAATACCGGTGATGTAGTACTCTTTTTTGAAGGGCTTTTTGAGAGGTTTCGATTCGATTCAGGATGATCTGCTTTCCATATTTCACACGCTCTCTATCTTGCAGTTTTGGAAGCCATGCAATGTAGCCATATTTTCAAGTTTGCAATGGCAACGTTGCTTGAAATGCCAAGAGCAGTTGTGTTTGTTCGTTGGAGATCGCACATCGTTAGAAAAAGTGGCGATTTCAGCTCATACTCAATGGTTCAAATTCTAAACAAGTTCATCGTCAAGGTTCGTTGGGTGATCATTGATGTGATCCCCATTGCAGATACGAAGATCTTATAGCAATTGGTGGGCAAGGCATGGAGAACTTCATCAAGGGTTTGAAAACGTCCTATAATTTTGTCAATGAAAAGGAAGAAGATGTTATCCTGAACACATATAAAGGAAAAGGTAACCAGGCTATAAACATGACCGAATTCGAAGCACGAGAGGTGAGACCTTACTCGAGTCTCCGAATGGCGTTCGACTCTGGGTTTTTGGTTTTTGGGTGGTCCATCCGCTTCTGGTATTGCCCGTTGGCTTCTATATTTCACCCTCAAATCACATTCATTTCCTTAGAAGCCTCAATTTTGACCTAACATTGCCATACATATCGAATGTAGTCAATTTGGTGTCTACAAATGGCCATCATGCCTCTACAAATGGCCATCATACCTCTACACACTAAAGCAGAGCTACAATGATTCTTGTCAAGCAAGAACGATACCCATTGCTGTTGAATCAATACTGTGCCATCCATTTTTTTTTGGGACCTTCCGAAAATAATTGTAGCTAAGATTCTGTCGACAAACACTATGATGCATTGTTCTGTGCAGCTTTATTACACAAAGAATCCGGAAAGCAGCATCATCACTCCGGAAGTTCAGAATATACTTTTAAGGCACCTAGACTTTGAGCAAGAAAAAAAGTTGGGCTATCATTACGAATTTCTAGGCCCTTGAGTAGTTCTGGGTTAGAAAGTATGGACCTGACCATTTTGTGGCACCCTAGGTACATTCATTTTGTATTGTCTAAAACCGTCGTTCTAGGAAAGGATTTGATTGGCAGAGAACTAGCAGGACCGGGTTCTTGAGGGCGCGCACAACCCGTAGGGTCCGGCGCTTGCGACGGGAGGTTCTGCATGATCCTTCGCTCAATATTTCGTCGCTTTTGCCAGCTAGCATAAAAGCTGTACGGCCTGAACGGACGGTGGCACATGACGTCAATCAAACGCATTAAAATCTTTGCCGTCCGATACAAGGAAAGTCCTTCAAAACTGGATCCGTACGGCTCGACTGACGCGTGTGAAAGTCCTGGAATATACGGTGATAATATATTGGGTATTCATATATTGATGAAAGTCACACATATGGCCGATAAGAGAAAGTAATATGGATCATCATTCATGCATACTGGCCAATGGCAAGCATATTGCTTGCATCCAACTTACAATTGGGACCTATAATCTAACCCAAACTTGGAGTCGTACTTCATCCCAAAAGCGCCCTTGACCTTGAACTAAACCCGTTTTTTCCAGGGATGATATATTGGAGTTGCAATATGGAAAATTGCTTGAGTAGAAACTAGACTGATACCATCTCGAACGCAATGATGAGATCGTCCACGACGTATATGATCTTGCAATCCGAAGCCGCCTCTCTGCACACACGTAATTTCGGAATCATGTGGCCCAAAGTCAATCTGCCAGACCCGTCGGTACGAGTTCGGCCAATCAGAAGAAGGCACTTGGCCACAGACTGACATCGGAGGGCCAGCTCTGATTGGGCACTTGGTGATCGGTACCTGAGGAAATGACGAATTCCTGCAGCTCCGTTGGAGTACCGTCACTTTGAGGTGACAGCGGGGTAGGTATCTTAACAGGGGGGGGAGGGGCAGAGGTTTGGTATCTTGATCGAGGTCGGGGGGGGAGAGGGGCTTGAGGCCTCTGGCGGGGGCGCAACCCCCAGCTACTTTTTCTCAACTCAAATCATGCAAAACTCTCGTAACTATTTTGACCCAATTTGTAGCTTATGAGACCACATGCTTGAGGCCAGTTTTGACTGGCTAGGCCCTCCCGGGGGGGTGTTTGTGGCCCTCTGAGAAAGTGGCCTCAAGAATACGTACCCCGGTGCCACTTCAAAATGACGGTGCCCATACGGCCGATCCTGATATGGGGTCACTATTTTTGTCTGCAAATTGCGTTGTGTACACCGAGTTACATCTCCGCAGTAGTGAAGTTTTGGGCCGGCAAAATCTTTCTAAGACATTTACATCTTCATGGTGGCAATCTATCTTAACCATCGTGTCTAAATAGGTAGCTAAATTGGCTCATCGGTAACTCAGTGCGGAGGCGAAGTCAAATTCAAGGCTGCTTGGAGAATTTTGGACGATTCCAAAAACAGGTATGTTAGCATTGGTCGAGTTTTGAACACACTCAAAGACCAGATGATGCTTTCCCCTGATTGTTTTGGTTTTTCTAGGCACTTTTGGCGCATAGTTGCCACCACATGCGGAATTGCTTGTATTACTAGAATAAGCACATACACCGGGCTTCGAACTCAGTTGTACACCTTCTTACATGTAGTGCGTATGGTACAAAGTGCGCTGACCTTCATTTCCTCTAAGGATGTCATGCAATGTAGGCTCGAAATTCGATTAGGAACGGTAAGGAGGCTTGTGAAACATGTGCATCGGCAGAAGCATTTGAACTACATGATGACATGCTGCATTGAGTGTGCCGTGCGGCCTTGCCTCCCTTGCCGGCTGGCATCGAAAACGGTCCCGTGGCCTAATAACACACAACTATCCCTACCACCAACGGCTATGTACGGCCTACTTGACCTCAAACTATCCATAGCATGATGAAAATGAAAATAATGACCCTAATCGACCAGGCCTCTTCATTTGATGGCGTGTTGGTTCCCTTGGGCGCATAACACCTTGGCAGTATGGAGAGGTCACAAGCGCTGAAGATCACCTCCCGCTCTCTCATGCAGCATGCACATCACCAATCATGCAATGCTCATGGTAATCTTGACTTCTCTCTTGTCCTTGGCTTCGGCTCCGATCATGCGCAACATATGAGCACTAACAGCGCATCTCCCCGCACTCCTTTGAAAAGGACTCGGAGAAAACCCTCCGCCACAGGTCGCAATCCTGCTGTCAATCAGCTCGCTGCACTATGCAATGAACGCTAGCGCCCTATCCTCGGTGCGCCCTAGCTATGGAGACTTACCAAAGAGAAGTAAAGGGATCACCTTTCCTCGGCCCTATATGTGCGGCCGACACAAGTCCTAATCATGGGCTGCAATGTCGCACCATAGACTCGGCCAGTTATCTCGGCGGTTTACCACTAACCATGCACTAGTGGCCTGACTCTACCTGCGGCCGAGCGCCAGGCTTGCAAGCCGGCCGCGGCTCGCCCTATCGATGCCATGTGGCACTTCTGCGCCACGTGTCACTATCTGGGCACTACCCGGCACGGATAGCTCTCGTCATGGCAGCTGCCGTCCGGCCTTCCCTCCCCTGCCGGCTGGCATTGAGAACGGCCCCGTGGCCTAGTCACACACTTCTATCCTTGCCGGCCGGCAATGGCAGGCTATGTACGGCCCACTCGACCTCAAACCATCCATGGCATGATGAAAATGAACAAAACGACCCTACTATCGACCGGGCCTCTTCATTTCCCCCCCACTCGCTGGTTGCGGTCCCCGCGGCCCAAGCGAGTCACACACGCTGCGGCTCCGCTTCTCAGCACATTGGGCAAAGTGCAGGAATTGGAGGCCATTCTGCAGAAAGGTGCAAAGCAAAACGACATGCCTGCCGAGGATGGAGCAGAACAGGAGGAGGTTAGTGGGGGGAATGGGACCATGAGGCCAAGAACCGGGGTTGATATGTTCGATCTGCTGGCAGCAATACTGCCGGAGCCCTTTTTGGTTGCAGAAAAGGAGGACAAAAAACCGAGTTCGCATTATTGTTTGGATCCCAGTGCATGCTCAATATGGTGGGCTCTCATCTTGAGTATGTTATGCACCAGTGGAGAAGAAGCGCAATGGGGTAAAGAGCGCAAACCTCAAGGCAGCGGCAAGCGGCAAGAGAAAGGCACCGGACACTCAGACTACGCAGGCTGGCAAAGGTACCGTTATCAGGTTCACCTCGTTCCGCGGTTTCTACGAGCTTTGGTTGTCATGAAGTGTTGGATATGGATCAAGTGCACGCTCTGCCTTATGGGCTTTTGCCAAGCTGTGCTTCCATGTTTCAAGCATAATGCATCTAGTTAAATCACTGCTCATTGTTTGAACCATGTTTCGACAAGCTCTAAGCGTAAGGCGCCGGAAGGCGCTGCCTCTGGCAATACCCAACCAGAGAAGAAGACGCGTCGGTACAAGCCGGGAACCCTAGCTCTTAGGAAGATTCGCAAGTACCAGAAAAACACGGACCCGCTCATCCCGCGACTCTCGTTTGCTCGTCTCGTGCGCGAGCTATGCGATGCAGAGACTGCCCGGCGGCCTGGTACCGACACAAACGGCAAGATTAGGTATGCACTCCCACCTGGCTTGGACTGCCTAAGTGTTGATACGGCATGAGCTGGAGCAAGTGGCTAGATCGATCAACGTCTCCAAGTATGGACGTGAAATATTCAAAAGTGAACAAAAATGTTTTGTTTTTGAGAATCGTGCGGTTACGAAGCTGTCCCCTTTTATCATAGTGCTGATCCGAGTTGGCAAGCTTACGTTCAGGTGGCAGGTGTCGGCGTTGGACGCTCTGTTGGAGGCAAGTTAGGACTTTGTCGTAGGGCTGTTTGGTGACGCGATCTTCTGCCAGTCGCACGGCAAGCGGAAGACCCTCCAGAAAAAGGACCCGGACCTAGCGCGCAGGATCCGCGGAATTCGGAACGAAGACAACACTCTGCCCTT